GTTACCATTACCACCATTACTACTGTCTCCATTACCACCATTAATAGTGTCATCATGTCCACCATTAGTACTGTCACAATTACCATCACTACTACTGTCATTATTACCACCATTACTTATGTCACCGTTACCACCTAAAACGCTACTGTCACCATTACCACCACCTACACTCCTCCAACACTACTGCCCCATTTACCCACACCCACACTACTACCAGCACCCACACTCCTCCAACATTACTGCCACCATTACCACCACTATCAGGGCCCCTGTACTCACTCAGATTTCACCAAATTTTACCCCTGGGCATTCATCTCGTCATTTTATAGGGAGGCACCGATAAAATGAAAAAAATAACCTTCTTTCACCACCTCTTCAACTAACACCAGCTGAGCACACGGTAATGAACTTAATTAAATAGGGAGAAGGGGCTCAACTTCATACTAAGTGGGATTCAGCTCAGAACTGGTCTATTGTCATGAGTTCACACCCTAACTGAGCCTCTATGACTTACCCTCACTCTCCTAGTCTTAGGTCGACCTCCTTCTAGTTCCTCTTTTTTTGTATGTTGTCGTCCGGCCTTCAATTATTTCTCTCTCATTCCTCTTAGAAATCCTCACCAAGACAAGGTCAAACACAGTTCTCTAACTGACAAACATTTATTACAAAACACAAATAGTAAAAATAATCATGGTATCATCAGGTATTGGTCCTACAAACTAGCATCCCGCTTGAATAATATCAGTACTCCAACAAATTGTCTCTGCAAGTCTGCTGCTCGATCCCATTCAGCAACCCACTGTGCATCAGTCACCTCGCCGTCACCGCTAAGCTTCGTACATGAAATTAAGATAATAAAAAATTATAAACGCTGTCACCTTGCATTACGTCAGGAATACTACATGAATCCATCCACCTCTCAAACAATAATGATGTCCACACAACCCTCTGTATCACGTCTGAAAGATCTACCACTCTCGTCACACAACAAATCTCCTCTGTTGTGATTGATCATCCTGGGAATCACAACTGGGATCATCCATCAGTGGCTCCTCAAAATAATTACACTGACCCACGGGGACTGCCCAAATATGAATACCATCAACAGCAGCAGTTGGAGTTCACTGGCAGGTCACCCATCCTAGTAATAATCAAAGTCAACGTTGCTTAACTTGGCTGATGGGGAGAGAAGCAGTGCTCTCAAGGTGGTAGCATGGCCGCCCACTTGGGCTGGACGGTAGAGCTACGGTAGAGCTTCATGCAGGTCGGCGTTCAATTCCCGGCCCTCCAAGTGGTTGTGGTCCATTCCTTCCCCCCCCCCCCCCGTCTCATCCGAAATCCTTATCCTGACCCTTTCCAAGGGCTATATAGTCGTAATGGCTTGGCGCTTTCGCCTGATAGTTCCCTTCCCTTCCTCAAATTAAGAAGTTCCTCTTGCAGCTTCTGTGTCGCTGCTACATCCACTAACGACGAATCGCGTCCACCATGTACCAATGCTACATAAACTCTGGACGCACCACATGCATCACACATGAACGTCCACCAAACATGAACGTCCTTAATACCACCACCACACCAACATCCACCACACATGAACCTGTAATTCCATTACCATCAAATAATAACATATCTTTCATTAAAACATAAATAATATTTCCAAAACAATTTTCGAATTACAACGTCCTATTCCGTGCACCGGACTGTACTGCGAGGGTCCTTCCCCTGCTTGGGCGCATCCACTGCGAAAATCTCCTTCGGCCTGGAGGCACTCTCCCATCAGTCGTCCACTGACCCCTGCCGCACAAGCATATGTTGCTCCCGCCTTCACAATGCCAACTCGCTTCAAACTCATTATATCATCTCATTATTTAAACAAACTTTCTAGTCTATATTCACAAACGCTCTACACGATAGCTGGGCATACAGTCTTGCTGCCACAAGCAATACAGGACCTTATTGCAAAAGGTTGACGTGACGACTACTGTCATCGACGCCCAAATATGGCGCTCTGACAGGTCGCCCACAAATTTCTCTCGGACTACCACTAATCGGCTCCTTCGAGTCCTGACTTGAGGGTGAGAGGTCATGGAACATGTGCCAATCAGGAACACCTGTCCAATGATCCTCTTAAGGGATTCACACACCATGGGGTCGTCAGGACACGACCACCCCACTGGCTTTAGGTCGCCCCTATATCGTTGCCTGTAGGGGAGAATTTAGTTCTACAATGAAATTATATTAAAAGTTTCGAGGGACCAAAAATTAATGTTAAGGATCAGAGAACCTGTGGCGTATGAATCTCCAATAATAAATGCATAAATATAATTAAATATATTTAGAGAAATGGACTGTAATATTAATAATAATTTAGAACTAAATCCTCAGTTTTAAATGGGGCGGAGGGGGGGGGGAATAATGTGAAGTAAATGCACCTCAAATAATAAGAAGTTAATACACTTCCTAAAATTAATAAAATTATTCAAATTGTTAAATTCCAGAGAGGAGAGAAGAATATAAGCTAACTACAAATACAACAGAAACAGCTTAGCTGCCAAAGATGAACGTAGGTTACATCTGGCAGCATCAACCCGGTTATTCCAGTCTGAGTTAGCCGTCCCTAATGACATGTGAACATGCAGGTAGAAGCTTGTCCCTCTCGCAGTTAATTCCACGCTGAAAGGCAAATCTTATGCAATTTCCACTCCAAACTTAGTATTCGCGCATTTAATCGTATGCTCTAAAGAAATTGGAGGGTACGATCAGTACTTACGTGGGTGTTTTTATATCGCCTGTGACGTAACGACAGCACATTAAATAAGTCAGAGAAATAATGGCCAATACTCAATGAATCAATCAACCAATTAAATATAGGTCTAGCAACCCTGGGAAGTGGGGATAGAAGGCATCCACCAGTCTCAGGAGACTATGGTGTTGTGCAAACGCCAATACGATTGGTTCCAGCGCCGTCGCAGGAACTGTGAGTTCCGGGGGTTGACCTCAAAGTTGGTGAAAGAAAGCCCAGGGACTCCAAAACCGGAGACCGTCGTGGTCGGGGCCAGAGAAGAACCACCCCATCAAGGGCAAGAACGATACCAGCCTCCTGAAGCAGAGCTTGGGCTACACAACCCCCAGGAGGTGGACGTCCGCGTCCCGCACCTACGGGTTCCAGACAGAGATCGTTACTGCCCCCTTTCACCCGAGGCCGGCTTTCTTCAAATACCAGGAAAGAATGAGGAAAGATATATAATAAATGCTAAGATATATAAGGATATATAATGCTAAGCAACTCCTTCTCGCACTTGCTTATAGTCAATATCTTGCTTATGAATAAGTGCATATGTGGCATACTAATTTATTGTGAATATTTGAGTTTACCTTTAAAAGCTGAATAGAAAACCACACCCTAACCTAACTTTCTTAGTATGGTAAGATATTGCAATTAGTACTGAACCCATACTTATATTGATATTACAGTTTTATAAAATTAATAAAACAAAATTAAAATATTTAAATAAATTGTAAAGTAACTCAGGATATTGTCAAATTTTGTATAAAACCTCTATTGTTTAATAAAACTGAGAGAAAAAGTTAGTATCCTGAAAAAAAAATGTCTTGGAATGAATAAAATATGTACTTATTTATAAGCGAAATAGTGACTTAAAGCAATAAGTCATATATGTGCTGTCTTGTACGAGAGCAGGTTGCGCTAAGATATATTATGATAGAAACACTTCCCCAAGGCTAGGAAGTCGTGTTGACGATAGGAGAATCTGACATCCTTCAATACTAATATTCGCGGGAAGTTTTCATGGAGCTCGTGCTCGCATGCTCGCTGGCATGACTGGTTATCAATTAATGGCGTCTCCTCCCTCTTTGATCAAGCGAGATGCCTCGCTTGATCGCGTCGGTTCATTTTCTGCCAATTTATGGACTAACGGACGAAGGAGCCTATTTTATTTATTATTTAATTATATCCAAGACTGGGAAACACTTTTTAATCTATTCTGGTTTCCAGACTGGTGTTTTAAAGATTGTTTAATATGAGTTTTATGGATAAATAGAAATCTGGTGACGTGGTAAGAGGTCACATTTTCTACGAGAATCTACCATACCCAAATTCTTTTCATGATTAACTAAGGTAACTATGGTTAGTATGGTAATGTAAATCAACAGCATTTAATGCTTGTTACATCAGAATTCATATGTGACAGAATTTCCGACAGCACTACACCTGTTACTACCACCATTAACAACACTACACTTGCAACTACCACCATTAACAACACTACACCTGTCACTTCCACCATTAACAACACTACACCTGTCACTTCCACCATTAACAGCACTACACCTGTCACTACCACCATTAACAGCACTATACCTGTCACTTCCACCATTAACAACACTACACCTGTCACTACCACCATTAACAACACTACACCTGTCACTACCACCATTAACAACACTACACCTGTCACTTCCACCATTAACAACACTACACCTGTCACTTCCACCATTAACAACACTACACCTGTCACTTCCACCTTTAACAACACTACACCTGTCACTTCCACCATTAACAACACTACACCTGTCACTTCCACCATTAACAACACTACACCTGTCACTTCCACCATTAACAGCACTACACCTGTCACTACCTCCATTAACAATCTACACCTGTCACTACCACTATTAACAGACCTACACCTGTCACTACCACCATTAACAGCACTACACCTGTCACTTCCACCATTAACAACACTACACCTGTCACTACCACCATTAACAACACTACATCTGTCACTTCCACCATTAACAGCACTACCCCTGTCACTACCACTATTAACAGAACTACACCTGTCATTACCACCATTAACAATCTACACCTGTCACTACCACTATTAACAGACCTACACCTGTCACTACCACCATTAACAACACCATCACGACGACAACCTCTTAACAACTCCTATAACCGATCCTCTTTCTTTTGACAGACGTGGTTTGTAATAGGAGGTGGACGGAGTGGAGGGCGAGGCATTCATGAGGACGGAGACTATATTGGAGAGCGAGTAGGACATGGCCTAGGACGAGTAGAACATGGCCTGGGACGAGTAAGACGGGGCCTAGAACGAGTAGGACGGGGCCTAGAACGAGTAACATGTGGCCTAGGACGAGTAGGACATGGCCTAGGATAAGTAACATGTGGCCTAGGACGAGTAGAACATGGCCTAGGACAAGTAAGATGTGGTCTAGGACGAGTAGGACATGGCCTAGGACGAGTAGGACATGGCCTAGGACGAGTAGGACATGGCCTAAGAGGAGTAAGACAGGGCCTAGAACGAGTAGGACATGGCCTAGGACGAGTAGGACATGGCATAAGACGAGTAAGATGTGGCGTAGGACGAGTAGGATATGGCCTAAGCCGTGTAGGACATGGCCTAGGACGAGTAGGACATTGCCTAGGACAAGTAGGATATGAACTAAGGCAAGTAGGACATGGACAGGGACGAGTTGGATATGGCCAAGGACGAGTAGGACATGGCCTAGGACGAGTAGGACATGGCCTTGGACGAGTAGATCATTGCCAAGTACGAGTAGGACGAAGGAAAACTTAGGTCAGCCGTTCGAATTGAAGAAACCTTCACAAGTGGAGTAATGATGAAAATTATAGTGATTACCAGAGACACCACCAGCATCTCAGGCACTGGGAGAAGACCAGACCAGTCTCCCATGTGGCCAAAGGCACCACCAACATCATAGGCGCTGAGAGATGACCATCCTCTCAGGGCTGCCAGAGGCACCACTAACATCACCGGCACTAGGAGAAGACCAGCCTCCCATGGCAGCCAGAGGCACTACCAACATGAAAGGCACTGGGAGAAGACCAGCCTCAGTGGGCAGCCAGAGGCACCACCAACATCACAGGCTCTGGGAGACAACCAGCCACCCAAGGCAGCCAGAGGCACCGCCAATATAAGCTCTGAGAGAAGGCCAGCCTTTCAGGGCAGCCAAAAGCACCATCAACATCATAGGCACTGAGAGAAGACCATCCTCCCAGGGCGGCCAGAGGCACCACCAACATTAAAGTCTCGGAGAGAAGACCAGCCTCCCAGGCAGTCAGAGGTACTACCAACAACAAAGGAACTGAGAGACGACGAGCCTTCCAAAGCAGCCAAGGGCACCATCAGCATCACAGGCACTAGGAGAAGACCAGCCTTCCAGGGTAGCTGTTACGATCCAGTTATATCTAATTGGTGAATAATTGACGTTTATATAAAGTCATGCCTAATTAATAGTATGTATTAGACATTAGACGTGCCTCTGGCGCCTTAAAACCAGCTGCTCCGGGTAGATGGGACTCGATAGCCTGGGAAGGCAGCCCATCTAGGGGAAGGAAAATCCTGGTTTTAAACCTCCGCTGCCTTGCGGCCATACCCTTTTTTGGGAAAGGCTTCAGGAGTTAACCTCTAGGAAAAATCCGGAGTTGGAGCCCCTAAGGCAGTTCGTTGTTGACGTCGACCTCGTTCTGGCAGCTCCTGCGATGTTGCTGGAACCATGTGTATTGGCATTTGCCTTTCTATTGGATAATTTCAGCAACGTGGAGAGGGAGGACCTGCTGCATGGGTAACAGCTTCTCTTCCATATCTACCTACCCAGGCTTTGCGCCCTGGAGAGGACACTCCAGCTTCACCTCACAGCATCGAACCAACACGTGAAGCGACAGTCTACTGGTTTTAAGTCTTCTGCTCGATTGGCAAAGAGTGTGACGCCAGGGGTTGCTTCCGACGGTGGGAGGGGTCATCGCGCCCCACTGGGCAGCTACCGCCCGCCTCAGGCTGGGCAAACCCCAGCCAATGAGGTGTTGCCTCGCCACGGTCCGTTAACCTCACTGGGTGTGTGGGGTTTAGGGTGAAAACCGACAAGCGGCCCGACAACTTTGCACCAAGCATTACCAAACCAAAGAAGAAAATATCAACTGCCCTAAAGCTGGGCACATGGAACGTCGGGACACTGACACCAGGTTTCTCTGACGACCTGCAAGAAATCAATGACGCCCGAAAAACAGCAATCATCGATAGGGAGCTGAGCAAGCTGCAGATGGATATTGTTGTTCTCCAAGAGACCAGGCTCCCAGGATCAGGATCTGTGAAAGAGAGGACCTTCTCTTTCTTCTGGCAAGGAAAACCTCCAGATGAGACCAGAGAACATGGTGTGGGATTTGCCGTCAGGAATGCACTGTTAGGACACATTATGCCACCGATGGGGGAAACCGAACGAATTCTGTCTCTGCAACTGCATTCCCAAACAGGACCAGTCAATGTAATTAGTGCATGTGCACCAACCCTGACTTCTCCAGTAGAGGCAAAGGAAAAATTCTACGATGACCTCAACAGAGTCATAGCGAGAATCCCTGTAAAGGAGCCACTGTTCATCCTCGGCGACTTTAACGCCAGAGTGGGTGCCGAGCACAACATTTGGCCCACTTGTCTGGGTCAATTCTGCATAGGGAGGATGAATGAGAACGGGCAACGTCTGCTAGAACTCTGCTGCCTTCATGGTCTTTGTGTCACCAACACGTTCTTCGGCACAAAGCCTCAACACCGAGTATCTTGGAGACACCCTAGATCCAAGCACTGGCACCAGCTTGACCTGATTCTTACCCGGCGTGCAAGTCTACCCAGAGTCAAGATTACGCGTAGCTACCAGAGTGCTGTCTGTGACACCGACCACTCCCTGGTATGTAGCAGGGTCAAGATGCAACCAAAGAAGATTCATCACTCGACAAAGGTGGGCAGACCTCGCATCGACACCACCAAGACCCGCAACCAGGACAAGGTGGAAGATTTTGCACGCGTGCTCGAGGAAGCTCTCCCTGGCCCAGCTGGGGTCACTGCCTGTAAAAGATGGGAGCACTTCAGAGATGCTGTGTTCAACGCGGCCATTTCCACCTTTGGCAAGAAGACCAGCAGATCGGCAGACTGGTTCGAGGCTCACTCGGAAGAGATGACACCTGTCATCGAAGAGAAGAGAAACGCCTTGCAAGCCTACAAAGCCTGCCCAAGTCAGCACAACTTACAGATCCTTTGGGCCGTCCGCTGCAAAGTGCAGCAGAGCGCCAGGCGATGTGCCAACAACTATTGGCTCCAGCTCTGCTCCCAGATACAGACTGCAACGGATACAGGCAATGTAAGGGGAATGTATGACGGCATCAAGCAGACCCTCGGCACAATCCAGAGGAAGACCGCTCCTCTGAAATCTGCCACTGGCGAGGTGATTCAGGACCAGACACTGCAGCTGAAGCGCTGGGTCGAGCACTACTCTGAGCTATACACCTGGGACAATGTGGTCACCGAAGATGCCCTGAGTGCCATTGAGTGTCTGCCTCTGTTAATGGAGCTCGACAGCGAACCGACCCTGGAAGAACTCAGCGATGCCCTAGACTCCCTTGCTTCTGGTAAATCTCCTGGCAAAGATGGCATTCCTGCTGAGACCTTGAAGTGCTGTAGAGGTAGCCTGCTCATGGAGCTGCATGAAATTCTTTGCCTCTGCTGGGGAGAAGGAGAGGTGCCACAGGACATGAGGGATGCCAACATCGTCACGCTGTATAAGAATAAAGGTGACAGGGGCGACTGCAACAACTACCGTGGAATCTCCCTCCTCAGTATTGTCGGAAAGCTGTTTGCTCGAGTCCCATTGAAGAGGCTCCAAGTACTTGCAGAGAAAGTCTATCCAGAATCACAATGTGGATTCAGAGTTGGCAGGTCCACCATCGACATGGTCTTTTCCCTCAGACAACTGCAGGAGAAGTGCAGGGAACAGAAGCAGCCACTCTTCGTAGCCTTCATGGATCTGACGAAGGCCTTCGACCTCGTCAGCAGGGATGGCCTGTTCAAGATCCTCCCCAAGATCGGATGCCCACCCAGGCTCCTCAGCATCATCAGAACTTTTCATGAGAACATGAGGGGCACAGTGGTCTTTGATGGCCTAACATCAGACGCCTTTGACATCCGAAGTGGAGTAAAGCAGGGCTGCGTACTGGCTCCAGCCCTATTCGGGATTTTCTTCGCAGTTATGCTACGGCACGCCTTCGGATCTGTCACGGAAGGCATTTACCTCCGGACCAGGTCGGATGGAAAGCTCTTTAACCTCGCCAGACTGAGAGCCAAGACGAAGGTTCGGCTTAGGTGTCTGCGCGACTTCCTTTTTGCCGACGACAGCAGTAGTCACTGCCCACTCAGCTGAAGACCTTCAACGGCTCATAACCCGCTTCAGCGAGGCATCTCAGGCTTTCGGACTCACCATCAGTCTGAAGAAAACACAAGTCATGGGACAAGGAGTGGACTCCCCACCTGACATCGGCATCTCTGATTCCAAACTAGAAGTCGTTCACGACTTCGTGTACCTGATCTCCACAATCTCTGACTCCCTCTCTCTTGATACGGAGCTAAACAAACGCATCGGTAAGGCATCTACTACCATGTCCAGACTGACAAAGAGAGTGTGGGCCAACAATAGGCTAACTGAGTATACTAAGATTCAGGTTTACAGAGCCTGTGTCCTGAGCACTCTCCTCTATGGCAGTGAGTCTTGGACACTCCGCGCCCGTCAGGAAAGAGAGCTGAATGCCTACCACATGCGCTGCCTTCGACACATCTATATATATATATATATATATATATATATATATATATATATATATATATATATATATATATATATATATATATATATATATATATATATATATATATATGTCGTACCTAGTAGCCAGAACGCACTTCTCAGCCTACTATGCAAGGCCTAATTTGCATAATAAGCCAAGTTTTCCTGAAATAATATATTTTCTCTAATTTTTTTCTTATGAAATGATAAAGCTACCCATTTCATTATATATGAGGTCAATTTTTATTATTTGGAGTTAAAATTAACGTAGATATATGACCGAACCTAACCAACCCTACCTAACCTAACCTAACCTATGTTTATAGGTTAGGTTAGGTTAGGTAGCCGAAAAAGTTAGGTTAGGTTAGGTTAGGTAGGTTAGGTAGTCGAAAAACAATTATTTCATGAAAACTTGGCTTATTAGGCAAATCGGGCCTTGCATGGTAGGCCGAGAAGTGCATTCTGGCTACTAGGTACGACATATATATATATATATATATATATATATATATATATATATATATATATATATATATATATATGTCGTACCTAGTAGCCAGAACTCACTTCTCAGCCTACTATTCAAGGCCCGATTTGCCTAATAAGCCAAGTTTTCCTGAATTAATATATTTACTATAATTTTTTTCTTATGAAATGATAAAGCAACCCTTTTCTCTATGTATGAGGTCAATTTTTTTTTTGTGGAGTTAAAATTAACGTAGATATATGACCGAACCTAACCAACCCTACCTAACCTAACCTAACCTATATTTATAGGTAAGGTTAGGTTAGGTAGCCAAAAAAAGCTAGGTTAGGTTAGGTTAGGTAGGTTAGGTAGATGAAAAAACATTAATTCATGAAAACTTGGCTTATTAGGCAAATCGGGCCTTGAATAGTAGGCTGAGAAGTGCGTTCTGGCTATTAGGTACGACATATATATATATATATATATATGTCGTACCTAATAGCCAGAACGCACTTCTCAGCCTACTATTCAAGGCCCGATTTGCCTAATAAGCCAAGTTTTCATGAATTAATGTTTTTTCGTCTACCTAACCTACCTAACCTAACCTAACCTAGCTTTTTTTGGCTACCTAACCTAACCTTACCTATAAATATAGGTTAGGTTAGGTTAGGTAGGGTTGGTTAGGTTCGGTCATATATCTACGTTAATTTTAACTCCAATAAAAAAAAATTGACCTCATACATAGAGAAAAGGGTTGCTTTATCATTTCATAAGAAAAAAATTATAGTAAATATATTAATCCAGGAAAACTTGGCTTATTAGGCAAATCGGGCCTTGAATAGTAGGCTGAGAAGTGAGTTCTGGCTACTAGGTACGACATATATATATATATATATATATATATATATATATATATATATATGTCGTACCTAATAGCTAGAACGCACTTCTCAGCCTACTATGCAAGGCCCAATTTGCCTAATAAGCCAAGTTTTCATGAATTAGTTGTTTTTCGACTACCTAACCTACCTAACCTAACCTAACCTAACCTTTTCGGCTACCTAACCTAACCTAACCTATAAAGATAGGTTAGGTTAGGTTAGGTAGGGTTGGTTAGGTTTGGGCATATATCTACGGTAATTTTAACTTCAATAAAAAATAAAATGACCTCATATATAATGAAATGGGTAGCTTTATCATTCTATTAGAAAAAAATTTGAGGAAATATATTAATTCATGAAAATTTGGCTTATTAGGCAAATCGGGCCTTGCAAAGTAGGCTGAGAAGTGCGTTCTGGCTACTAGG